CCTGCCACAACGCCCGGCTATTTTTTGGTTGCAGCTGTCATTGTTGTTTGGCGGGTCTGGGCTGGGGATTTAAACCCGCCACCTTAGGTGTACGTGGCTAGCGCCTTAGCCGGTTGAGCTATAGGCGCCAAGCCCAAGTGAGAAACTTTTAAGGTGTCCTGGACGTTAGGGGCTTACTTGCTATAGCAGCTCAGTTATCTCAATTATTTTATTTACTTTATATTTTTAACATTCATTTGTTGAACAAATGACCACTCTATTTTCTACTTTCATTTTAAAACTAGTTGTTGGAAATGACTTTTCTATGGCATAAAACAGTATTAACAAGGAGCAGAAGGTGCAAAGAAACTGTGGCATCTATCAAGAAACAGTGAAGGGAGTATTCTCTCTGAAAAAACATGATATAAGGAAAGATTACAGACTTTGAAGTGATTAAGATCCAAGTTCAAATTTTGGTGTGTTGAAAAACTCTTCCATGTGCCAAGTTCTGTACAGTAAATAGCACTTCTTATGTTATCTCATTTCATCCTTACAGTAACTCTAATATTGGTATCCTTAAAGGAAAAGTGAGGAGGAAGTGAGAAGTTAAGCAACTAGCCTAATAGTAAATGAAAGAGACAAAGTACCTATATCAGTATGACCTTGAGCAGAAGACAGGATATTTCTGCAATTGGAATTCTTAGTCTTACTCTCTAACATCACTGAGAAGACAACATAAGTAATAATAAGCATCTGGCATGTACTCAGTAGTACGTACTCAGCCCAATCTGTCCCTATTAACTAAATGTCTTTACAGCATATTGATTTAAATTCTATTTATTTGTAATCTGATAATCTCATTATGCTTTATTTCAGAGATTCATTGTCAGAGATTACAAATAAATAGAATTTAAATCAATATGCTGTAAAGACATTTAGCTTCTCTTTTTGAGTCAACATTTCCCATAGCAGTTTGTGCACAAATTCAATAGCCAGCCTTTATGACTTCTATAGCAGAAGGCCCGGGGGCTCTTGAATGGTTAACTATAAGCAAACCTTTTATATTTAAGTTTTTCTGCCAATATTTCCCACTTTTAGTCCATAATAGCTACCACATGTATCTACCTGAAACAGAATTAAAAATTCTGCTTCTGCAAAAAAATCAGCTATGTTTTATGGGCAAATTGCTTAAAACTGGTAAGACTCAGTTTTCTTAGCTGCAAATCAAGGTTAGTACAAACAAACCTAATGGTGTTAAGGGGACAGATTAGCAATAATACACACAAAGTATTTACTCCACAGTTGATACAGAATGAATACTGAATAAAAACATCATTATCCCGGTCACAGACATTCTCAAAGTCAACAAAGGATAAAGGTTCAAAAGTCCTAATTTGTCCATCCCTTATAAAATTTGTCTAATTGCATTTTATTTTCATACCTTTCTCTTACACTTGACTAGACTCTTTTTTTTTTTTTTTGAGCAGAGCCTCAAGCTGTCCCCCTGGGTAGAGTGCCGTGGCATTACAGCTCACAGCAACCTCCAACTCCTGGGCTCAAGCGAGTCTCCTGCCTCTGCCTCCCAAGTAGCTGGGACCACAGGCGCCCGCCACAACGCCCGGCTATTTTTTGGTTGCAGCCGTCATTGTTGTTTGGCGGGTCCGGGCTGGGGATTCGAACCCACCACCTTAGGTGTACGTGGCTGGCGCCTTAGCCGGTTGAGCTATAGGCGCCGAGCCACTAGACTCTTTTAAGATGATTTATATTAGAAAAAAGAGTATTGTTACCAATCTGCACATCTAAAGTATACTGCCGTTAGCTACTAATTGTATTTTTAAAATGTACCTGTATGATGTTTAGCGTGTCGCAGAAGTTGCTTCTGGAGCCTGAAGAGTCGTCCACAAGAGGGATGGGGACATACATACTTCTTCTTCAGCAAATGCTGGTATTTAATGTGATGCTAAACCAGTAAAAGAAAGTGTAAAAGAATAAAGACTAAGGCTTCCTAAAGCTCTTTTCTTTGCTAAGTGGTAAGCACTGAAGGAAAACCAAGTAACCAAATACTCTGTATATGTGTAACGAGATAGTGTAGTAAAATAGTTAAGAACACTGACCATGGAAATATATAGACCTAGGTTCCAAAGTGGGTTGCCATTCACTAGCAGTGTGGTCTTAGGAGATGTACTTAAATATTTCAAGCTCCAGTTCTCTTTCGTAAAATGGAGATTACCGTAACTATCTCATGGTGGTATTGTGGAAATAAAGAAATCATACATTGTACAGTGCTTACTGAAGCAAATGGCACACAGTAGCTATTATTGTAACAGGATCACAAACCAAAAGTTTAAAGTCTTAGTCCAATACAATACTAGCTGATAAAGATCAGTCATTTCCTAAGCAGTATTTCTCTGTTTTCTGCCAGACCTAAATATATATGTATGTTTAAATTCATTTTTTAAAAATCTACTCAGTTTAGAAAATTAAAAACAAAACCCAAACTAAAAGTCTTATTCATTCTACACGGTATCCACATCACTGGTATAAGTTGCTAATTTAATTTTTTCCTAATATACACTAAAATAAAACTTGCTACTCTTGTGCCTAGGTATGTTATTACAATCATCTCTTCTATCAGAAATATTTATACCACATTCTGAATATTCCAAGATTCTAACTTTCCCAGGAAAGTCTTCGATTTGGGCTCAGGTTCTTGGTCTCACTTTTTTTTTTTTTTTAAATAGAACAGGCTGTGGAGTGCATGTGTCCACCAAACTTCATATGCTGGAAACTTAATCTGGAATACAACAGTGTTTGAGAGGTAGAGCCTAATAGGAGGTACTCAGGTCATAAGGATTCCACCCTTCTCCAATGGGCTGACAGAGTAAGAAAGCCCTAGCCAGATGCTAGCACCTTATTTTTGGACTTCCAGCCTCCAAAATCACAAGCTAATAAATTTTTGCTCTTTATAAATTACTCAGTCTCCTCAGTCTCAGGTATTCAGTTAATAGCAACAGAAACAACTCAGACAGCATAACTAATTTTATATTTAAAGGACGATTAACCTTTTCTTTTTTTCTTTTTTTGATAGGGTCTTACTCCGTTGCCCTGGCTAGAGTGCAGGGGTATCATCATAGTTCACTGCAACCTCACACTCCTGGGCTCAAGCCATCCTCCTGCCTCAGCCTCCCAAGTAGCTAAGACGAGAGGCACACACCACAGCACCTGGCTAATTTTTCTATTTTTAGTAGAGATGGGGTTCTCACTCTTGCTGAGGGTAGTCTCAAACTCTTGAGCTCAAGCAACCCTCTTTCTTGGCCTCCCAGAATGCTAGGATTAAAGGCAGGAGCCACCACACTCAGCAAAGAAAGATTTAATGTGTTAATAATGCTAAAGACTATATAAGCCAACAAATTATGAAGTCGCCTGAAGTATGAGAGCAAGTAATAGAACATAATCTGAAAGGCTGCCTTAAAATAACAATTTCACTGACCTGCAAATAGCGAGGATGAGCAAGAACAGTTCCACATCCTTCCATCTCACACCGAACATACTGGATTGGAGGTTTTTTTCTATTATCAAAACATAGAAGAAAAGTTAGCAACAGAAAAGTGGCATTTTGGACAGTGGTCTTTAACTCAAATTTTACCATAGGGAAATGCAATTTTATAATATGAAGAATTAAAAGTCTTTACTAGTATATAGCTTTCATATAATTTGTGTCAGAGTTTTAAAATGCCATAAATGACTCCCAAAAACATGAAGGGGAAGTATTAAGGTTTTTAGAAACTTCAATATCCTACAGTGAAAATAACAACATCTGTACATCAAAAAACATTAATAGAGTTGCTTTTGTAAAATTTTTAAACAGCCATTCATTCCCACAGAATTACGATTAGGTCTAAATATGCTAGTAAAGTGTCTAGTACCAAAATAAGGTCTAAAACAGTAGGAGTATAAATTCCTTACCTCCTTTTGGGTAAACGTGGACTTTTGTCATCTTTTCGCCTTCTTCCTCTCCTATAATTAAAGACAGAGTAACTACCTACATATTCTGTATTGAAACTTACAGAAGAAAGGATGGTTAAAGACATACAGATATACTAAAAGGGCAAAAGCACGTGGCAGACACAAAGGATAACTCTAAATACATAAAGCCTAAGACATATCTGGCAATCAAATAAAATTTTACTCTGAAGTAATTTCAGTCAGTCTGCATCACTGATTAAATATACACCTTAGTAAACTACGCATTACTATAAAAGATTTTGATACAGCTCAATGTATTACTTAGAATTGTTAGTCTATCATCAAAATTTTTAATTTAAAAAGTAGAAAAAAAGAATCTATTACCCAAAAAGCCTGAGGACATAAACTATAATAGATCATGAGGGATCTATACAATAGAACCAAAAAGCTTAAATACATTAAAAAAAAAAAAAAAAGCCTGTCTAATGAAACTGTCAGCTGCTTGAGGCCAAATTTTTAAGTTAAAAAAATATTTTAAGTATGTGTCAGTCAGCATCCTTCCTCTCATTCTCACTCTTTTCCACTAGTAGTTTCAAATGTTTGATTTTTATTTTTAGTAGTAATTGCCTACTTACTTCCTAGGAGGTTCCTCATCCTCCCTAATTTCATTTTCTTCTTCTTTCACCTCTACCTCTACTTCCACTTTAATTTCTTTCTTCTCTTTCTCTTCTTTCACCTTCCCTGATTTTCTCCGTGGTTTGGGGGTTTCCCTGAAAACACAAATCAACACTGGTATCTCGTAAAGGATATTTTCAAGAAGAGTACGACAACAAATTAAAGTTTAGGAATATCGAAATTATGGTCCTCAGTCAATGAAATATGATTTCCCACCAACTATTCCTCACATGCACAGTAATTATTTATTATGCCTGTGGAATGATTCCCCCAGGCTAAAAATGCCTGAGAATTGAGCCTCACTATAGAGATTTATAAAGATCAAAAAAAAAAAAAAAAGAAAGAAAGAAAGAAAAAAAATTATAAGCATTTAGTTAATTCATAATACCTTACTAAAAGTGTAGACATCATAAAAATTTGAATATAACCAAAATAAAGTACTATAAAAGGAAGAGAGGACTGTATGAAGGTGTGATATTAAAATTACAAAACAAGTGTATAAGTAATTATTCATTTAATATTAATTCTATATCCATTAGTCTGGCAACAAACTATTACATAAAAGTATGTAATAGTGCTTTCCTACTTATTTTTCACTGACATGTCTGGAGTGAAATATGAGACATGCCTTTCTAGGTGGGGTTTGTAGGTCTCATCTCTTGGGTCATCTTTGAATGGTATTTCCTCTTCACTGATTAACATCTCTTCTTCTTCCTCTTCTTCCTCATCACTACTAAAAATAAGCAAATAGAAATGATAATTCTGGTTGTAAGGATCATGTCTGACTGAATTTTATTTGGTAAATTTAGAAATTGCCAAAAATTCACACTAGATTATCTAAGACTTTCATCCTTTTGAACTAGCTGGAATGTAATCTAGCTGAACTGGTAACTACCCGCTTTACCCTAAAGAAGTAAAATACTAGACATGCAATCTGCAATCACTATTACATAAAAGTAAGGTGGTAACTACTTAATGGCACTAAGAATTAAAAAACAATTTTGTAATTCTATGCCTAGCTACCTGCTGTATCAAAAAGACTTATCAACAGACAAAAACCATGACTTAACCATGGAAAATACTGAAAAAGTCTCAAAACTCTGGTAAAAACACCCACACTTTACATTAGTGCTTAGCATGAAAGACATCCCAAAACAGAAGGTACTTATTTTATACAGTCTCTCTGAACTATGTAACTAAAAATTACATGGTTAAAGCTCTAATCACAATCAATGTGGAATTTCTTAAATTTAATATGAAAACTAAAGCTTTTTTTGTTTTATTTATTTATTTATTTATTTATTGAGACAGAGTCTCAAGCTGTCGCCCTGGGTAGAGTGTTGTGGAGTCACAGCTGACAGCAACCTCAAACTCCTGGGCTTAAGGAGTTCTCTTGCCTCAGCCTCCCAGGTAGCTAGGACTACAGGTGCCTACCAAAAAGCCCAGCTATTTTTTTGTTGTTGTTGCAATTGTCATTGTTGCTTTAGCTGGCCTGGGTTGGGTTCAAACCCACCAGCCTCAATGTATGTAGCCAGAGCCCTACCCACTGAGCCATGGGTGCCACCTGAAGTTAATTTTTCTTATAGCTCAAAATCTTTTCAAATAGAAAACTTCATTTAATACAGTAATGCTCTGTCTCTCAAAGGTTTAACTATTAAACATGAAAAGGTTTTTTTTTTGTTTGTTTGTTTGTTTGTTTGTTTTTACCTAATGCCACCTGGAGACTGATGCTCTTCCCCAACATCTGGAAAAAAAAAAAAAGCAAAAAAAATCCATTATTTTTATGTAGATATATTTTCTCTTACATCTAAGAGATTCAAAACAAATTACTACATGAAGTAACTATACAAAGGAAGAATATCTGCAAATTGTCCAGAAGAAACTCTATCTATGCCACCACATCCATCCCTAAAATCTAAGTGTTTAGGTACCTCTTCCAACATTACATTTAAAATAAAAAAATAACCAGTTATAAGTAATCATACTCTATTAGCACCATACCATAATCAAGCTGATCTGTATTTGGTTCTGACTTGCAAATGAGCTGCAATGAACCAGTCTTGGACCGAGAGCTTCGGGTGTTCTCCGTCTCACGATGGCGAGAGACAGATGTTCTGCTACTACTACGCCAGCCCCGACTTGGTCTCGTTGCAGCAATAGAAACTTCCTGAGCGAGGGCAGAATTCTCGTCGTCGTCTTTCTCTTCCTTGGGATCTAGATAAAAACATATACTATTTCTTTAAAGTCTATAGTCAACCAATAACCATCTCTAGGTACCTGATAATTGTCAACAGTCACAGAAGAGAATAAGTTAAATAGTTTTTAAACAAAGAAGAAAAACCCAAGATTTTTACTTAAGAGAAAAAACAAGGTAAGAGGAAAATTAGATAAAACATACCTTTAATGTCATCACTCTCTAGAAAAATTACTTCATTTTGCAAAGCAGTAATTTTATATTGCCTTCCCTACTAAAAAGTGCAATGCTAATTATGTAATACACCCAAGTAATTCAGTTCATAGAATTCTAATCTTTGGAGCTAAGCTTGAAAAAACTACATTAAGCGGTCCCAGAAAGATGACTAGAACCACAGAGGCACTAAAAAAAAAACCTGTAGAACTAGATGTTTCAACAGCTAAATGATCCTATAAGAAATTACTAAAGAGGAATTCCATAACAGGAATGCCTTCCCTTGACTCTAATCAATTGTTTTACATAGAACTATACTATGAATTTGAATTACTCTATAGAGCAATCCTATGGCATATCAAAGGCCAACTCTACTGTTCCTCTGTTTGTTATCCTATGATATCTGCACACGAGCACACAAACAAAATGTTACTGTTACCCCATATTTCTTCATATGTAAGGGTGAATGAAGACAGGCAGATCATCCTCTCCCAAATAAAAAATAAAAAGTTAACATTGGAAATTGGCTATCATACCACAAGTGGCTTGGAAGTGAGCTCGTTTTGACAATGGAAGACTGTTTTAAATATTTCAGAATGGTAAAGTCTTCAAAATAAAATAAAATTCAGTTCCTAAGACCAAAACATCCAACTACATAAAAACAATTTTCTACATGGTAAAATCAGCTACAAGCAAAGCGTAACAATTGAATAGAAAAATGAAACCTCAGTAAATACATAGCTTTCAAATGCACAAACAACATAAAAAGCTCAATCCATTCCTAACAAGAGAGGCTCAAATGAAAACAATAGTGTGGTATAATTTTTTACCTATCATGTCACCAATGATCCAAATGTTTGACAACACATTAGTATTACCAAGGCTATAGGAAAACAGGATTTCTAATAGATAGTTTGAATGTTAGCAAAACCTCTATAGAGGATAATTTGGCAGTATACAACAGTTATTGGTGCTCAATAACTGACCACCTATTTAGTTCACCTAATTTTCACAGAGTGGTCATGCACCACCATGTAGAAAGGCCTAGTATCCTACTTTGACCACCTCTGTATGTTGACCAGTTTACTATAATGCCTTGGGTGGTCAATTTAGAGATTCTATTGCATAGGGTGTCCATAAAGTCCACTTTATATCAAAATTATAAATGCCTTTACTTTCACATAGAATTTTACTAGAAATTTATCCTAAAAATTATATGCACATTTATAAAAATAACTTACGTATAATTTTAAAGTAGTAAGAGTCAAAAACAAAATGTGTGGACACGTGTAGGATGTAACACTTCTGAAGGATATATAAGAAATTGATAATACTCTAGGGAAAGTCTAAAAATATATCCAGTAATTTCACCTCTAACAATCTACTCCAGGAAATAAACTAGCCCATGTAAGTTTACCAGAGCATATTTATAATAGCAAAGAAGAGAAACAACTAACCCTCTGTCAGTGAGAAAGTGTTTTAATAATGCATGATATATTACCATGAAGAAATACTATCTAGCAAGTGGCATCTATAAAGAATGGCACAGAATTGTTGGCAAAATAAGTGTTTTTAAAAAAGACACAAAACAACATATACAGTATGCCAATAATTTTGCTTAAAATTCTAAGTGTAAAAAATAGTTTCTTGGGCAGCACTTGTGGCTCAAAGGAGTACGGTGCCGGTCCCATATACCAGACGTGGTGGTGGTTCAAACCCACCCCCAGCCAAAAACTGGGAAAAAAAAAAAAAAGTTTCTTCTACTATGGACCAAAGTGGTGGCTGAGAGCTACTTTATCTTTAGCTATATTGTTTTAAAGTATTATGAAAATATATTTTAAAGCAATGGAATGAAATTAGTGCCTTTCTCATTCTTCTTCTGAGCTATTTTAATTATAAAATCTTAGAGGCAAAATCTTAAAGACCATCTAATCTAAGTACAACTCGGTAAGTTAGGAGACAACTTGTTCAAAAACACAAAGTTAGATAAGAACACCTAGATACAGAGACCATGTTTTGAAATTAATAACCAAAGACTTTTATATCTAGGTCATGACTATTTTTAAAAGAATTTCTTCAAAGAGAGCAAATTCAATACATTATATGAAGTACAGCATTTAAAAGAAAGAAAAACCTTTCTTTTCCTAAATCCAGCTCTACCAAGTTAGTGTCTTTGAATCTACTCCATAACCTCTCCTACTCAATGAAGCTTTTTCTTCTCCAGGATAAAAGAAATGTATACCAGGCAACTTCCCAGAATGGTCTTATCCAATCTGATGAAAACAGCTTATCTGTATGAATAAAGTACAGTACACTGGCCTATCTTATTGAATACCACATCTAACCCCCAAAACTCTAGCCTTAAAAATATATGTATTATAAAAAGCAATGTCCAGTGTGTGAAAGCAAAAATGCCCCTCCACAGAAACACACACAAATGAACAAAATGCCCCTCCACAGAAACACACACAATGAACAAAACACATGATGAACAAAAACTATCAGAATTAGCGCTACAGAAAGACTAGAAAATATTTTAAAGGTTTACAAAAACCAAGGTTTATAGAATCAAGAAAGGTAAGGTTTATGAATCAAGAAAAAAGTAAGTTCAGCAAGACATTTTGATTACAGACCAACTCATAATTGCCAAGTCATGGAAGCAGCTTCCAAATGGCCATCAACCCATGAATGGATTAACAAAGTGTGGGATTTGTATACCATGGAATGCTATTCAGCCATAAAAAGATGGAGACTTTACATCTTTTATGTTTACCTGGATGGAGCTGGAACATATTCTAAGTATCTCAAGAATGGAAAAAAAAGTATCCAATGTACTCAAAACTACTATAAAATCAATGTATAATCTTCTACATATATTCATATGAATGATAAAATACAACTATAGTCCAGTGAGGAGGAGGGGAGAAGAAAGACAGGTGGAGAGGGGAAGGCGGGAGGAGGAACATTATTTGATGGGACCTCACCTATTGCGCACAATGCAATGGTACATTTCAAAACTATTAAGAGTATAAATGTTTTACCACAACAAATAAGTGAGGTGACGGTTATGTTAATCAGTTTGATTTAAGCATTCCACATTATATATCAAATCAGCACATTGTCCCCCATAAATGTGTATAGTTATGATTTAATAAAAATTTTAAAAGCCTGTAATCCCAGGTACTCAGGAGTCTGAAGGTGACAAAGACTCTGTCTCAAAAATAAATAAATAAATAAAAATTAAAAAAGACATTTAAGAAAATCTCAGTAGTATCATTTGTTGAACACAAATTAAAGTAACAGAGCCTTTAGAGACCACAAAGATCTTTTAAAAAAAAAAAGGCTCTAAGAGTTAAAACAGAAATCACTGACAAAGAACTTAAAGAAATGAGAAAAACCATGTTTCAACAAACACAGACTACCACTAAGCATACCAACATATGAAAAAGAGTTCCAGAAGAAGAACAGAGAATGGATATAAAAAATACTAAAAGAAACTTTGGGAGGAAACTTTCAACTTTAATAACAACTACACATCCACACAAACAAGAAGTAAACTAAATGAAAGCTACCAACACCCAGATATATATATTATTATCAAACTATCAAAAGCCAAAGAATCATGAGAACAGCAACAAGTGACTCATTGGGAAAAAAAGATTTTTCAATTCTTATCAGAAATCATGTAAGCCAAAAGGCAGTGAGATGACATATTTAAGGAGATGAAAAGTAAAAACTGTCAAGAATTCTACGGTTGGCAAACTGATCCTTTAAAGATGAAGGAGAAATTAAGACATTACCAGAAAAATAAAAACTGAGTTTGTTGCTAGTACATCTGCTCTACAAAAAATGCTTTTTAAGGTTTCCTCCAAGCTGAGCTAAAAAGACACTAGATGGAAACTCAAAGCTATAATAAGAACACTGGTAAAGGTAGGTAGTTACACAGTCAATAGAGAATAGTATTAATGCATTTTTGGTTGGTAAGTCAACATATTGGGACATGGCCTAAGGGCATCCTTATCATTAATTACTTTAAATGTAAAGGAATTAAACTCTCAAATCAAATGGCAGAGAAAAAGCAAATGGATTTTTTTTTTAAAAGACCCATTTATATTCTGTCTGTAAGAGATTCACTTAAGATCCAAAGACACAAATAGGTTCAAAATAAAAGAATGGAAAAAATATTTCATGAAAATAGCTAAGTAAAAGAGAGCTGAGATGATTAATTAGTTTCCTGGCACTGCTGTACCAAATTACAATAAAACTGAATAAGCTTAAAACGATAGAAATCTATTCTGTCATAATTCTGAAGGCTATAAATCCAAGATCAACATGGTAGCAGAGCCACACTCCCTCTTATACTATGGGTAGAATCATTCCCTACCTCTTCCCAGCTTCTGGTGGTGGCCAACAATCCTTGAATTGCAACTGCTAACTTCAATTTTATTTCTGTCATGACATGGTGGCCCCACCCTTCCCACCCCACCATGTGTCTTGTCTCTGGCTTTTCTCGTCTTACAAAGACATCTGTCATGACAAGGGCCTACCCTAACTAAGTGTATAAACCCATCTTACTTAATTATATCTATAAAGACTATGTCCATTTAAGTTCACTTTTATTGGTACTAAAGGACAGAACCTCAACACATGTGCAGTGGAACAAAATTCAAGTAGTAGTAGTCTACATCTTCTAGCCCCCTAAAATTCATGTCTTTCCAATATGCAAAACACATGCACCTAATTGCAACATCCCAGCATCTTGATTGGTTTCAGCATCAACTCTAGGTCCAAAAGCTTAACTAAGTTA